CTTCCCTGCAAAATTCAATTTTGAATATAAGGAATATAAGTATCTTCCCTGCAATGAATAAAATTACTTTCAGCCAAGTGTAGATAATTCTGCCCACATGGAGGTCAGACACCATGAAAATACTGTGCAAAAGGAGATACATTATTTTCTTCCCTCTGGGAAAGGAAGGTGTCCAGACACCTTTTTTAATCAGAATGAATGATCTAGAAGTTCCTCCTCTCCTGCTGAACAACTGAAGAGAACCACAGCTGGAAACCTTGGCCACGTTATGGCTTTATCATTTTTAAGTAAACCAGTGGGGTCTGTAAATTACAGAAAGAATTATTGCTGATATAACCTCTCCAGATCCCAGCTGCATGTAACATGCTCTGGAAAAGACCAGAAGTGGTGAGAATTGAGTGATGTGCACTCACCACAGCCTCAGGGGGCTGTCAGGAACCTGCTCACCAGAGGGAAGAGAAACTCAGTGTTTCAGGAGCTGGTTTTTCTGTGCTATGTATATCTGTCTCCCCAGGTAAACCCATAGATGTTTTGCTTCCAGTTGGTTTTTATCATTTCTGACAACCCCTTTTTCACCATAAAATATTCAGCAAGCTTCTTATAAAAATACTTTATTGAAGTGTTCAGAAGGGAGCAGACACAGGGAAAGGTAGGAGCAGGCTCAGCATTTATCCTGTCAATTCACAGTACACGCACTTCCAGGGGTGTATTTTAACCCATATATATCAGACTGACAGAACATGTCACAAACCTGAAATATCATATACACAAGACAAAACATCATTTAAAACCCGACTTCAGGTGACAATACTGATCTACTTGACAAATATCACTGAGATACAGTCGGATGGCATTTTCTTTTTACTTTTACCAGCAGCCAAAAGCAGTTTGCTCGCAGTAGCAAAATGTAATTGGTGATCACAACATCATAAGCTTTTGGGTACTGCTTTACAACATTTGGGTTTCTATTTGTAAATGTAGTTTTCAGACTTAGGATCTTGAGCTCCCCTGTGCAATACTGTTAAATATGAGCATTTGCCATGGCAAATTACTTGTTTGTGTTACTACATCACTGAGCAGTGCCAGCTGTGGAATTAACCTGCTTTTTCGTCACACTGCCTCTGTGCCCAAAGAGGTTGCAGAAAAAATGGGCAACTGTGATGAAGCATGAGATGGGAAGCAGAGGTAAAATTACCAGGATTTTATGTAAGACCAAAGCTAGAGCCCTAGTCTCTTGAATCTGGTGCTCTATCTTTGTAATTAGAGTGACAGTTCTAAAAAAATGTAAAAATTAAACAGTAAAAGAATTGACGCTTGTGTTGACTGAATCAGCTCAACCCTGGTCTCCAATGAATTGAGGTATTTTAAAAGAAACAATGCAAGAGTTCTGAAACTTGAAAAATGTAAGAGGAACATTTTAAAAAGGAACATAAAAAACAACACAAGATTTGTTTCTCTCTTGTTGGGGAATGAGCTTGTCATTCCCTAACACAGTGCCCGAAGAGTATCTTTAAGATCCTGCAGAAGATCTGTCCCTTCTTGGGGTGTGGAAGGGACATCTGTTGCACCCCATGAAACAGGGTTCCAGATTATGGCTGCAGCTGCTGTAACAAAAATGATAAATGAGATGTTTTCCTTCTGAGGTTTGTTCTTTTCTTTCTGAATCATCATCTATGTGTAAAGGTGTGAGGAAAAAACTCTCCCATTTATGAGAAAGATCCCATCTGCCAACAGCTAAGCTGTAGTTTAACGCAGTATTTTAAGCCAGATATTTCTCTTTATTAGCTTTTTCTTTTCAGTTTTCAGTTTATTGGAGCAAAATGTTGGTGCTGCTCAGGCTGACTAGGTGGCAGCAGAGCTCTTTTGTGGCACCTGCAAGTGGCTGACACTGACTTCACTGCCCGTGGTTAATGTCAACAAACCCCTTTATCCTTCTCTGCAGTGGGATTTTGTTGTAGATGAACTAAAATAAGTTAATAGTGGTCTCTCTTCTGCCTTCCTCACCTGCCCCACAACACTGCTTCTGAGTTCTTCCGAGGAAACAAGTTCCAGTCCCACACCAGTAGAGCAGAAGTAAACCAAGGCTTTTCTCATCCTCACACTGGGCTGGCTTCACTTTCAGTAGTTCTCAAGGGCATAGTGAGGCTGAATCTTCATCTTCTTGGGACAAAGGAGTTTGATAAAAGCCCTTCTGAAGCTGGAATGGCAGAGAGGGTACAGGACAGGGTTGACAGCTGAGTTGATCCACAGCAGCCAAAAAGAAGTCTCATACCAGAACTCAGAGATGCACTGGCCATGGCAGCCAGCGCGGATGATCATCAGGAGAGTGTACGGTGCCCAGCAAATCCCAAAAATGCCCACAATGATTGCCAGTGATTTGGCCACTTTCTTGTCTCTGGAGAGCCTGAAGCGTTGAGTCGTGCTCTGGGACACGACCTTCACCCGTTTCTCCGAGGACAGAGTGGAGGCTGAATTTTTGCAGCTCTTTTTGTTGCAACACTTGGGTTTCCTGGAGCTCTCCGAGCTTGTTTCCAGCAGGTCTTTGGCATCCAGGCTGGAAGTTGAGGCTGCTGCTTGAGCTTTGCTCTTGGAGAGGTCGAGGGTTTCAGCTGACTCCTTCTGCTCCCACTTACAGCATTTCAAAGAAAACTTTGCTTCTGGGCTCCTTTCCATCTCTTCAGCGAAGGACTGGTTGTGTGCCTCGTGGAAAACATCCAGGCGCATTTTGGTGCGCTTCTGGATGTTCAGGTAAATGCTTAGGTTGAAAAACATCACGCTGATGAAAGGGGTGAAAAACTCCAGCGTGGAGGCTGTCATAAGGAAATACCAGTTGTAGAAGAACTCAGCATAGCATTCCCCACTGGGGATGATGCTCTGGCCTGATATGTACTCCCAGCTGATGATGGCAGGTCCGTACAGCAGGAATGCCAACACCCACACCATCACCATCTTCAGCACTGCTCGCCTGGTGTTGCCTTGCTGGGCTCTGTAGGCGACCTGCAAGAGGAAAGCCTTTTATTACACATAGTCCCACATCCCAGCTGGCTGAGGCTCCTCACAAATGGACTATTAGCATTCCTGGTAAAGTTGCTAGGCAATACCCCAGCAGTCCAACAAATTGATATGCCATAGGCAACAGGAGCAATTGCTAGATAAATCACACTCTTACAGGGAAGATTTAGAACAGTCATTTTACAGCTCCAAAATATGGTGTCTGCTAAGTGGAAATGTACTGGTTTGGCTGGAGCCTGGCAGCTGTCTGCACCCACCACTTACCTGAGCTGTCCCCAGCTACTCCCTGTAAGTCCCGAGGAGAGGGACTTGACAAACTCCTGAGCTAAATCCGTGCTGTGTTTGTAGTCAGGGAATGAGCAAACTGCAGTGGGTCAGATCTGCCTGTGAACTGCTCGTTACCTCCTGCAAAAGGCCGAGCATTTTGATCTCCCACAAGCTCAGAGACCTTTCCACATTCCCTGCCAAAGCTGGCAGTGCAATCTACTGCTGTGTTAGCCAGGGAGAAGATCCGAGTGTGACTGCAATCCACTTTTTTGTCCTGGGGTTAAAAGCTCTTGCAAGTTAGTTTAAAGTCTGCTTACCTGGCTGGCTTGCTTGTACACTACTATCCTGTCACCTGGGAAGGGAACACCTGTGCAACAGGGACTGAGCCTTAAGTGATTCAATTCTGCCAGGAATACTGATCTGAAACCCCAGCTGAATTATGCATTTGTGGATGATTATTGCCTTCCGGGCTGAAAGATTCATAATTTCTGGAGGATTCAATAAACTTTTAAGTACTGCAGACAATTCGGAGCATAGAGCAGGAGGAGAGTTATGTCCCTCTCAGATGCCATGACAGGACTCACCGCTCTTGTCACCGAGAGGAATCTGTCGTAGCTAATTAGGACGATGTTGAAGACCGAAGAGGTGCACAGCAAGTAATCAACCACCAGCCAGAGTTTGCAGAGGCTTCTCCCGAAGATCCATCTCCCCGTCAGCACATAGGGCACGTAGAGGGGGATGCAGAAGGCACCTGCAAGCGGAGAGGTCCGTTCCCGGGGAGAGCCGGGCTCTGCCCGGGGCAGCGCGGCTGCCGGCCGGCTCCTTCCCTCTGCCCCCCGGCCGGGGGACAGCGGGAGGGGACCGCGACCGCGGGAGGGTGTGGAGGGCAGGAGCGGAGCCCGGGGGCAGCAGCCGGGCAGGCGGAGCCGCCGAGTCGCTGCCGTGCCGGTGCCGGTGCCGGTGCCGGCGGGCGCCCCGCGGGCGGCACTTTACCTACGAGGAAATCCGAGATGGCCAGGTTGAGGAGGAAGAAGTTGTTCTGGGTGCGCAGGCTGGAGTCCGCCACGAAGGCCAGCATCACCAGCGCGTTGCCCGCCACGGTGACGGCGATGAGCAGGGCCATCAGCGCGCCCAGCGCGGCCGTGCCCGCGGCCGCGAAGCGCCCGGCGGCGGCGGAGCCGTTCAGCGCCCCGCCGCTCTCCATCCCGCGCCGCTCCCGCCGCGCCGCCGCCGCGGGGCTGCTGCCCCTCCCCGCCCCGCCCGCTCCCGCCTCTCGCTCCGGCCCCCAGCACCCTCGCGTAACCCCCCGAGCAGCCCCGAAACCCCCAGAGCATCCCGAGATCCGCCCAAGCATCTCTGCGTCCCACGAGAGCAGCCCTGAGCATCTGGACATTCCCACGTACTCTCTCAGCCCGGGAGCATCTTTGTGCTACCTAGAACGTCCCTTCATTCCTCCAGGGCATCCGTGGGAATCTACACATTCCCCTCTCAACCTAGGAGCATCCTTGCATTACCCTGGAGCATCCCTGAATTCCCCCCGGAGCATCTTCTCCCATTTCCCTTCCCTTCTCAACCTTGGAGCATCACTGCATTACTTCAAAGAATCCTTGCCACCCCCTAGAACATCTGTACATTCCTGTTTCCCCTCTCAACTCAGAAGCATTCTTGTATTCTCCCAGAGCATCCTTGCATGCTGCACAGCAACATTCCTGCATCTCTCCAAAGCGTCCACCATGGGTTTATTGCTCCTGCCGTGGGGTCTGTGCCTTAATGAACAGAAGTGAAGTCAGAACTTAATTTGCCTTTTAATCAGCCAGAAGGGCTCCCTGGGCAGGTGGAACATGGTGATGATCTTGCCTTTGCTCCTCATGGGCAGCAGGAGGAAGAGGTAAAGCTGCTGGGGTGCAGGCAATTCTTGGTCTGCAAATCAAGGAGTCCTTGGGGCCCCCAGCCCCAGCAAGGCGATTAACTCTTCCTCCTTCCACCACTTGTTCACCCTCCACAGCTAAAGAGTATAACTTCTGTCTGAGGACTTCTTTCAGCTGGTGATTCTTCAGGATGAAGTTACCTACCACTGTACAACCCCTCTGCACGGTGCCTGCTCCCGATTGCAGAAGAGGAAACATCCTCACAGGTATTGTCACAGGGGCAGGATCAGCTCTGCCCTCACCACCTCTGGAGAACAGCACAGGGATGTGCAGAGCAGCAGCTGCAAAACAGAGAAGGGTACAGGCTGGAGACCCTGACCAGGCACCCTTGTGTCTGGGTAATTCCAGAAACAGAGAGAACATAAGCAAAGCACGAAAGCTGTGCAAACCCAGAAACAAGCCTGTAGTTAAGGCCCAGGCAGTTTGCCACCTTCTGATTGCTCCAAAAGCTATTTTCACCTCAGGAACTACTACAGCCTCACAGAATTCCTCTTCAAACACGCTGCCGCAGCCGCTGTCCTGCTGCCTCTCTGCAATCGCCGTAAATCTGCGAGCGCTGCTCATCTCTCCCGCGGGGTGCGGTGCCTTTGTGGCACCCACAAAGGGTGACCCCGGCCGGAGCCGGCCCCATGCTGTCCCTGAAGGTGCCCGGTGCTGCGCGCTCGGAGCCGGGCTCGCTCTCCCCGCCTGTGCGCACGGCGAGCCCGCAGCTGCCGGGCAGCGTGTCCCTTCCTCGGGGACACAAGCGTCCTCAGGACGGCCTCTCCAGGGATGCCGAGGCTCCGCTGCTGCCGCATCCCGACGGAGGATGTCACTGTGGGCTCGTGGAGCCGCGGGTGGGAGCGCCGAGGATGCGGCGTGCGAGGAGCTCCCGGCCTCGGGGTGCTCCGTGCGGGCTTCAGGATGCTCGGGGTGATCGCCCGGAGCACCCGCCTGCACGGGCGGGGATTTCACCACAGCCCGGCAGAGAGGACGTGAATGTTATGCTGATCACCACAGATGTGATGGAGAAAGTGGTTTTGTTGGTTTTTTTTTTTAATTTTTGATGTTTAATGAACTCACGGACCACTTCCACAGTGTGGCTGTTTGTGATCTGGTGTTATTTGCAATCTCCTGCTACTCAGTCAAGCATTATTGTCCATTGAAATGTTTACAAATTCCAAACGATGAGGTGTGTGCTGTGCAGCTCCTATCCCTAGAAGCAGTTTGCTGACATCCATTATTCAGAATTTTCACTATCCAGATAGAAAGCAAACTCCCTACTTTGTACCTAAGATAATTTACAAAGTGATACAATACAATGTGGACAAATCACAGTTAATTTTTATCCAGAGTAAATTTCTAGGATTGTTAGATAAATAAGAAGTGATAGAGCTCAGATTACAGGTTTCCTGATGTTTCTCTCTTGCTTCAGCACACAGGACAAGTGTATTTCTCATATATTTCAAGAAATGTGCCATCTTGGTAATAAAGGAAATCACACAACCTGTGGTTAAAGCAGATCACACTCAGGCATGCAAGCAGCTGGTCTGACAGCTCACGTTTGGACCTGGCTCACACAGTACATATGCCATGTGTAGGTATCCCATATGCTCATAAGTGTTTATGTAAGTTCTCACTAGGTGTTCTGATCAGCCTGCATCATCTCCATGCTGGGCAGGGAGATCTCCTGACCACTGCTCAGTCCCTGTGGAGCTGTACAGGGGAGCCTTTCTGCATGATGTGAGCTGTAGCTCAGCCCCAAGCTCTCCTGAGCACCATTTCTGTTTGTTCTGGGGTTGTGCCTGAGCAGCAGGAGCTGGGGGTGGCAGATCACAGCACGGCTCAGGCTGGAAGGGACCTCTTGAGATTTTCTAGGCCAACTCCTCTGCTGAAACAGATACAGAAGGTTGCCCAAGGCTTTGTCTGGTTGGGGTTTGAATATCTCCAAGAATGAAGACTCCATAACCCCTCCAGACAACCTGTTCCAGCTGCTCTCCAGACTGCCCTCACAGTCAAAAAGTGTTCTCTTCTCTGCACCATCTTGCCCACAGATAGCTCTCTATAAAACTAGAACTTGGAGGATATGCACAAGTTGTAGTTTTTCCATTGCTTACTTCTGTTCCATGGAGCCAGTTTGTCTCTGAAACAAACTTTAAAGAAAGAGATTATTAAAAAATCTCTTTGTGTTCACATCTTTACTGATGAGGGTTGAAAGTCCTCTGGCATTCACACAAGTATCTGCCACTATGAAACCTTTGTTTTATTTCCTTTTCTTCTGCCTTTCATCATAGGACATGTTTATTCTGTTTGGAAAATTCCCTTTTTTGAGATCCCCTCACAAGTTACCAGCACACATGGGTGAAGAGAAGTGCAGTGTGGCAGTGAAAAGAGATTCCATTTTGGCTGAGGGCAAAATCTTCAGGGAGCCCTTCAGCTCCTGCTTTGCCAGACCCCCAAGATGCAGCACAAACTCTCAGTAAAAATATTTCACATGTAGCACCAATGAGTAGGACACAGAAAACACCAGGGGAGCATTTCTTCTGCTATGCTTTGATATGTATTTCTCTTAAAAACAAACCCAACAACAGCTTTTCTGTCAAAACTTGGGGAACTATTAGGACTGAAAACCAGCATCAATCCAGACCTGGCTGGGACATGATGGAATCAGTCACTGGATGTGCTTCATCCAGCTCAGACAGGGGTCAAAGCAGCTTCTGCTCCTGACAGGAGGTCTCTTCCTTACCCTACTGCAAGGGACAAAATTGAGTGAGTTTGATGTCAAACAAAGACAATGACCAGAATAATCCTTGAAAATGCCAAGAAATAACCTGTGAGCCGGCTTTCAGAAAGGTGGGAGTAGCTAACATCTCCATTGGCCACAAAGCCACCATGTCCCTGAAGATCACAAATTCTGGAGGGGAATTTGTGTTCCTGCCCATCAGGGCACAGTGTGTGTCCACCTGCACTCAAAACATGCCCTGTACCTGTTCACTTCTTTATTTTCTTCCTCTCCTCTCCTCTCCTCTCCTCTCCTCTCCTCTCCTCTCCTCTCCTCTCCTCTCC